AAAAAGGAAAACCTAAGAATATAGTGTTGTGTTTTTAACATCAGTACTAACCTCTAATAACCTTAAATTTCTTCAAGCTAATGGACATTAGCAAACACAAAAATTTTTATAACTCAGACAATTTGACAGACAATGAGGTAAAATTGGATGTGAAGTCAACGAGTCATTCCTAACACATACGCTGAGTACTGCATCTTCCAATACTCAATTAGATATGCTAATTCAAAGCCACAAAATGCAACAACTCCATCAATCCTCACCATAATCTCAGACCAAAACTCTGGTGTGAAATGATGGTGATAGTTCTGGTTTTATGCACGTAAAACTAAATGTCTCTTCCTCCATCCAGGTTCAACCTTTCCTTGTCCCTAAAGACACAGTCTTCTTCTGGCCTCATCTTTTACGTGTCGGATGTCCACGAGGACAACTTTATGGCTCTGTACTTGACCCATGGAAAACTTGTTTACACRTTCAACGTTGCAGACAAAAAAGTTAAACTCAAGAGTGTGGAAAGATGTAATGACAGTGCGTGGCACAATGTAAGTTTCTTCAACACTCTGTACAGTCACATGATCAGAAGATGTTCCGCTTTTAAATGCTAACCTCTGCTCTGCTCAAGGTCCGTTTGATCCGTGATGGGAGCTTTGGTCAGTTAATAATCGATGGGCTCACAGAGCTGGAGGACCAAGTTCAGGAAAAGAGCGTTCCCTGGAGGGTCAGTGACTCCCTCTTCATTGGAGGAGTTCCTCCTGGAAGAGCCCAGAGGAATATTCAGGTAGGCACAGTTTGATACAGCAGTGATGATCTGAAACACTGCAGGATCTTTATTTGTTGTTTGTCGTTTACTTAAATCAGACTGTGGCTAAACCATCCTGCTTTGACATTCCTAATAACTGACAGTAAAGCAGGGTACTTAAGGGCAAATTTTGATTCAACACGATTTTTTTAAACAAACTAATAAAACTGGTCTTGACAAAAAAATATGGTGCACTGAAAAAAAAGGATTAATGGGTGTAGTAA